CAGCGTCTGGTTCTGCTGCAGGCTCTGGTTTCTCTCCAGGTTTTGCTGCAGGTTCTGGTTTGTCTACAGGTTCTACTGTAGGCTCTGGTTTTTCTCCAGGTTTTGCTACAGGTTCTGGTTTGTCTACAGGTTCTGCTGCAGGTTCTGGTTTGTCTACAGGTTCTGCTGCAGGATCTGGTTCTGGTTTCTCTCCAGGTTCTGGTGCAGGTTCTGGTTGTGGCCCGCCTCACCTGTGCTTGTGTATGATGGCGCTGAACAGCCGGCCGTCCCTCCAGCTGGTGGTGAAGTTGTCGCAGCGCAGGCCCTGGTATCCCTCCACCATCCGCTGGGCCCACAGCAGCAGCTTCTCTTTGGCCGTCATGTCGTCCGACTGGCCGTTCACCTGGATGTCCGAAATCTGGAGGGGCAGCGAACGCATCATCACCACCACCACCATCATAACACAGAAAATTTTCCGTGTCAACTTTCCCTCCAAATTCCTCCTGGCTGAGTCCCATTTTAACCCTGAACGCCCTCATAGGGCTCCCAGGCCGCATGGCGTCCATAAAGCCGCCCCCAGATTCCCTCTGAGGCTGTTCCAGGAGCTCAGAAACACATCCAGATGACATTTTTTAGCAGAAACTCAGGCTGCCGATGACTCATCTGAGTCATGGGAAACCACATGAGCCCGTTTTAATGAGGAAACTGAACAATGAGGGCAGATTTCAGCACATGGGCCACAGAAAGCTCTGCAGTTACACTTTCCTTCGAAAAAATAAAGGAAAAAGCTTAGATTTCCTCCCCAACAGCTACTCAGGTTTCTGTTTAAGTTATTTTCCTGACTTACTTTGAAACTTAAACATCTCTGCCTGACTGAGCCAAACCTAAAAAACGTGTTTTTGGTTAATATTTGTGTTTTAAGAAAGTTTATTATTTTGTTTAATTATTTTCTTCTTTTTTTTTTAAATGATCTATTTTATATTATTAATTTGTTTATGTTAATTAGATTATTTAAGAGTAAACTAAGTAACTGACTTTTTTTTTTTTTTTTTTTGAAAAACATTTCCTTCACACACACATACTTAATCTTTTAATTTCCTTATTTGTGTGTTTCTGGACACAGACTGTTGTTTACGTGTTGATGGGGAAACAAAAAATCTGCCTGATACGTTTCACTGGTGAGTCATATGTGGCTTCCAATAAAGAAAGTTACATAAATAATTAAAAGGAAGTAAAAAACAACAACAAAAGAAACGAGCTAAAGATCTGAGGATTTTTTCTTTGTGCTTCTTGGTAAAGAAAAAAAGAGCCACAGTCAATCTGTCTTATTCTGGCTGCAGGTGCCAGAGAAAAATGTTTCTTTCTGTTTTTTTTGGCTGGAGGGTTTATAGGCGGGGGGGGGGGGGCGGAGGTGGAGCTGCTCTTCCTTCTGCTTTTCAGTGGCACCGAAGGCCTGAAGTTCCTCAGACAGCGAGGAAACCGAAGCCCCACCCGGCCCAGCAGCTCTGTGCCAGTTTCCAGCTCCACAGCCGCCGGGGGGGCCGCAAGGAAGCGCCCATTGTTTGTGTCTGTGGGGGGGCGGGGGGGGGTCTGCCCGGCCCGGTCTGGGAAAGTCTGGATGGTCCCAGAAAAAGGCCAGTAAATGTACCTGCTGTTATTTTTTAAATTTTTTGGGGGGCCTTTGAGTCATTTTGTGGGAAAGTAAAAACTACCCATTTTGGTTACGGGGGAGGCACCTGGTTACCAGGGTGACGCCCGGTTACCAGGGTGACCCCTGGGTACCGGGCTTACCCCTGGTTACCGGGGTGACGCCTGGGTACCAGAAAGATCACAAGAGCACATTTACAGATGATTGGCAGCGTTTCCCACAAGGTGATAACAAAGATCTATCTGAGGCCCAAAGTCAGAGCCTTCACAGCAACACGTGCTGCCTTCAGGGACACGTTTTTTCCAGGAAAAGCCAGAGGCAGCTTCTGCCCTCTGAGGTTTTATTGCTCACTCTTTGGCTGGACGGCAGCAGGGAGGTCCTGCCTGCACATCCTCTGGCTACTCTGAGCCTCAGGGTTCGGTTTTTCCTGTTTTCAGGGCGTTTCATCGTCATTTCACTGGTTTGTTTCTTGGATTTCCGGCTGCCGTGTGTTCAGGTGCTTCTTTGGAGGAACACTCTCGGCCTCGGTTGTTCACAGATCGTTTTCCAGCCCGAGATGTGAAAACAGACAGAAACTGGGACTGAAAGGCCAACGCCCCCCCGCCTTTCTGCCCGCTCTGAACCAGAACAGCAAACTGCTGGTTCCCGGCTGGTTTTCAGGTCTCTGACTCACAGCTGCCACGTCTCCTCCCTCCTCACCGGAACCGCTGAGTCACCGTCCCACTAAACCCCCCCAAACCCCCCCCCACCCCCCCAAACAGCAGCTAGGGCTCAGAAAACAGGCCGGTTCCCAATCTGGAACCCAGCAGAACTAGGTAGAACCTAACAGTTTCACCCGGGAGCTGCTGCTTCTTCCATTTCAGTTTTAATCTAATCAATAATTGGACATGTCAAGTAGAATATCATTCCTCTATCAATTTTTTTAAGTTGTTTAACTTGTTTTGGTCTATCATATTTAGCTTTATTTTCTGCTTTTAAACTCTTTGAAAGGCACTCTGAGTTGTCCAGTGCATGAAATGTGCTGGTCAATGAACCTGAACCTCCCGTTTGGGAGGCCCCAGAAACTCTGCTCCGAAAAGGGGAAGAGGCTGTTTGTCTACCTGGAAGTGGAGGATGATGGTCCAGATGAGGCCCAGGGTGAGTTTGGGGTTTCCATCCGCGATGTCATCATTCCTGATGTTGACCAGTTTCACCTGAGGGAGAGGAAACTGGTTTGAGTGGTCTGAGCTGCTGGTCAGAGGCCTTTCAGGCGCTGGTTCAACTCCATGTTGCTCCAGCGTGTGAATGTTTGAGTGACTGAGGGGTCACTATGTAAGAACGAGTCCTTTTACTGTTTAAAACCCTCAAGATTCCTGCAGTTTCCCCCTAAGACTCCCCCGAAATATGCAGAAAACTGCAGCTAGGACCTGGAATCTGAGGAAAACTGAGCATCTGATAGACATTGAGACTAAATAAAGACTAAAGAGCTCCAGAATGACTGGATAAATTAAACATATGTGTAACATGTTTAATCTCATAAAACAAGGCAAATGAAACCCCTTTAACATCTTAAAATCACTCCGATTTCCACATAAAACTCCCAAAATATGCACATAAATGCAGTTAGGACCTGGAGTTTGTGGAAAAATTTGCATCTGATGGACATCTTAAGACTAAAGAGCTCCAGATTTACTCATTTAATCAAAATCAAACATGTTTCTTGTCTTTTGTCATTTATGATCAGCTATTCTCTTTCTGCTCCATTTCTCGACATATTGGTCATTTTGTGTCCATTCTCAAAGTGTTTTGTCTCTTTCTGCAACTTTTTCTGCTAATTTGTTTGGGATTCTTTCAGTTTTTTTTCATTTAAATAATCAGTTTGTTCCTTTTACTGCTCCTTTTTTCTGCATATTGTCCATTTTCACAGTTTTTTTTTTTTAATGACCCACCATCATTTCCCCTCTAATAGCAGATAGCAGCTTCTCTGACCTGTCGGTGTTTGAGGAAGTCCAGAGCGATCTGAACGTTCTGCAGCTTGTGGAAGCGCATCCTGCCTTTTTCCCGCGGCTGTAAGAGAGCAAAACGAGCGTTAAGGGGGGGGCGTTTGGACCGGTCAGTGCAGAGTGAAGCCCGGCGACCGGGCGTCAGCTAACATCAGCCCTGCTGGTGGAGCTGAACCCAAAGACGATGAGCCCCACTGCAGGCTTCTGATGCAGATGCGTGATGAGGAACGGCTCTGAGGCGCCGTTCTGCTAGCTGCTGCCTGCTAAGGGTCCCTTTTTAGACCAACTGTACATGCACCTGCCTCCACTTTACAGCCAGGCTGCAGCAAACAACCCTGTCAGGAGGTTGAAACTTTGTTTATAAAAAGCTGCTTTTTATTCATTTATTTTTTTAATGATAGTAATAGAGACGGTAAATAAATTATTATGTTTAACAAAAAAAAATTACATGTAAATTAGTCTATCACTCATTAACACATTGAGTTAAATAGACAAAAAAAGTCATACTGTACATAAAAAAAATTACAATGTATATTTTCATATGTCCTAAATGTTTTTGTTAAAACAAAGAACTAGAATATCTATTTTTTTGCACGACACGAACGAAAAATAAGTTTAAATATTTGCTTATCTTGTTAAAATGAAAAACACTGAAACATGAAAAATCCTAAAAAAAAAATTGGACATGACACTAATTCAATATAATATAATGAAAAAGTGTAAGTTATATTTAATATTTTGTTAGAGACTATGATTAATAATGATAATAATAAATTACATTTTTTGAAAAGATTAAATCTAAAAAGCGCATTTCTTTTTGGACATGCTTTGGATGCTCATCATGGTCAAATATAAGTAACAGAAATAAGTAACTAAGAGATCTTTTTTTTTCTTAAGATCTTAAGGAACAATGACACCCCCCCTCTGTCCTGATTGGCCGGCGGACTGACAGCATGAAAGAGCTCGATGTGGACACAGAGTGGACAGTAAACGAGGGGGGGGGGGGGGGGGGGGCCTGCTATCAGGAAGAACCAGCCCCCCCGGGGGGGGGGGGGGGGGGGGTGAGGCATGCGGCCAGCCACAGTCCAGGCGCCACTCACCAACCGCACGCTCCTCACAGCGTCACGCTCCCTCGGCTACAGCGCGAGCATCGCACGACAGGGGTCAGAGGTCAGAGGTCAGGGCAGAGGGAAGCAGACAGGAGTTAGAGAGAGGGAAAGAAACCAAACCAAAACAAGGCTCCAACAGCACAGAAAAGGTCACAAGATGGAAGCAAAAGGATGGAATTAGTGTTTTAAGGCCGGGACACCGGAGAAAGACGAGCGGGGGGGCGGGGGGGGGGGCCGGGGGGCTGGGGGGGGGGGGCCGGGGGGGTTTGGGGGGGGGCTCACCAGCGTCTCCCCGGAGAGAACCTCCAGCAGGGAGATGAGGCTGTGGCCATCTCTGAGGTCCTCGTACAGGTCGGCCACGTGTCGCTGCGCCTGCAGGAAAACACACCAATCAGCTTCCAGCAAAACACACCAATCAACATCCAGGAAAACAAAACAATCAGCTTCCAGCGTCCAGGAAAATACACCAATCAGCTTTCAGCAAAACGCACCAATCAGCTTTCAGCAAAACACACCAATCAGCTTCCAGCATCCAGGAAGACACACCAATTAGCTTTCAGCTTCTTCACTTTTCTATGGTACAGAAAGCTGCAAACTCACCCATTTAACTATTACCATTTTTTTTCCCCCTCTGCTGAAACTTCCTTTTTTAAATGTTTTTTTGTACTTTTCACGTGGGAAACCGGGGTTCGATTCCCCCGACGGGGAGCTACACATGTTTATATTCTACTTCGCTTTGGATAAAAGCGTCTGCTAAATGCATAAACATAAACTTTTGGATGAGGTAGCTCAGAGTCGAAAATAGATGAACTTTTAACTTTTATCCCCCCTGTCGTCTGTTCCTCCATCTCCAAGTCCTGTTTGTTTTAGTCCTGTTTGGGTCTGAAAATGAGCTGAATTCTTCCTGCTCTGCTTAAATCCTGTATATTATCTAGCTTTTAATGTATTTCTTGATATTTACTTTTACTGTAAAGTGCTTTGTTCACCTTAGTTGATTGTTGTCAACCGCTATATATATATATATATATATATAAAATAAATCAATTAATCCATCAATTAAACAATCAAATCAGTTAATCAATCAGAGGTGGTCAGAGTCTTGAAAATGCTTTTTCACCACAACCACTGAAACCGGTAATAAACATGCTCTAATTCCTGATGGATGCTGGAGAACACACACGGGGGGGTCAGAGGTCAGGGGTCACAGGCAGAACCTACCTCTGCCTTCCAGTGCTGATGGGGGGGGGGGG